ATCACACAGTGGGAATCATGCAACTTCAAACTGTGGACCCACTCTAATCCCCTCATATGGCCCCCAGAAGCCAAAGTGTTGGTGCCGCTTTCTCTCCCTTGCCCCTACCACCATCCATAGCCCTACTGGGAATACACATGCAGTTCTGCCCTGGAGGGTCAGAGGCCCCCATGCTGTGTTTTTTTCGCTACACTTTAGCAGAATTCCTGGTGGCGGAGGCAGAATGAATGAGGAGAAGGATGATGGGCCTTGGAGTCAGACTAGTCTGGGTTAGAATTCTTGCTCTGCCACTTACTAGCTGTGTGGTCTTGAGCAAGTTGCTGAACCTCTCTGAGCCTTAGTTCCTTAATATCTAAAATGGAAATAATAAAACCCATGTCCTGGGGATTAAATAAGATAGGATTTATTTAGCATAGTGTCCAATACTCAGTAGGCAAAGCTAGAAATAGCTGATGAATGAAAGAATGCACAGAAGTGTATTAGTTTTCTTTCTTTCATGAGCAGGGCTAGGACCAGGGACAGATAAAACATTTAACTATGGTTCAGGGATTTATAACCTCTTCATTTAAACAAATGTTTGGATAGTTATCTCAGCAGAGGCCCTTGGATCATTTGCCCAGGTACAAAGGTAACTGGACCTAGCCAAGTTGCTTCCCTTCTCTGCACCTCAGTTTTCCTTCCTGTAACCTGGGGGTAGAAGGAGTGGAGTCAAAAGAGCTAATTGGCTCTTGGCACTGACCCACCTAACCCTTCACTGGCCAGGCTTGAGAGGCAGTGAAAAGGGCCCTGAAAATGGGTTACAGAAGGAGCAGCTTGGAGACCAAACATTTCTAAATATTTTTTCCTTTTATGGGCCCATGCTCTAGATCGCCACTTCCTGGAGATTGTATTCTAAACTTTGCTGTGATGGATGCACAGTCTGCGTGCCCACAAGCTCCAGCGGAACCCAGATGTCACCCCGGGGGTGGGACTCTGCTTTTACCTTGCTATTTTAAGCAGCGGGTTTATAATAATGGATGGGAGAGAAAGCAAATGGGACAGGAGCAGCGTGGGAATGGACTGGCCAGCGGGGCTGCTGGGGCTTCCCACTAGGAGCATGAGGTTTCTCCTTGTCAAGTGTGGGACCTCAGCCAGCGTCCACTCTGCTGTTATCTGGCAGCTGCAGACTTCTCTTAGTGTTTGTCTGACTTAATTCATGTCTGTTTTGTTTTGCTTTCTGACCCGCAGACTGATTTAGAGTCTTTTCTGAGGAGCGGGAGGTGGAGGTAGAGGAAAGGAAGTGGAAGTTAGAAAATGTGATATTTCTGATGCGATTTGGGAATAGCATGATCCCAGAATCCTCTGGGATGGGGTCATCAAATCTTGTGGTTTGTTGTAATTAGGAAGGATCCAGGATTCCATGGTTGGAAAGGCCCCCTGAATTGAGTTAGGAATCCCTTGACCTTTGCCACAGTCTTTGCTGGAACTCTCCCAGGAGTGGGGAGCTCACTACCTTAAAGAGAAGCCCATTTCATCTTCAGAATGTTCCAAACGCTAGAAAATTTTCCCTTGCCTTGATCTGACCTTTTAGTCATTGGCCATGAGTCTGTCTTTGGAAACAATAGAACCACATGTATGTTTATCTGAGAAGAAATTTTATTTCTCACTACACCTTCTCTTCTCCAGTCTAAAGGTCTCTAGTTTTTAAAACAAATTCTTGTCCTAATAGCATCCTGCTTCCTTTTTTCTGAACATGCCCCAATTTTTCCAAATTCTAACATGCAGAGCATAAGATATTTGGTGAAATTTAAGACATAAAGGAAAAGTGAAACTATTACCTCCCATGTTTTGGAAACCATACTCTTATTAAGACCACCTGGACCTGCATACACGTCACACATTTAGTTTTAAGAGGTTTCTGGGAGATACAGCCAACTTCCCTGGTAGATTTGGGGCTTATGTATACTTTTTTTCTACCTCAGCCCCTGTTACAATATATTTTACCAAATACCACTGATGTCACTGCTGCTGAAGTCCAAGTAAAAGTGACAGAAATTAATCACAGAGCTCACCTTTGGGTGAACCCAATGCTCAATTTATTCATACAGTAGCCATTTGGGATGGGAGACACAGCATGCCCTGGCCCCATAGCTCTCATTCCTAAGAGCTGGGTTAAATCTGCCCAGTATGGCTTCTCCCCTTCCTGTCTTCATCTCCTCTCTAGCCATTGTCCCCCACCCTCCAGGCCCTTCTGACTGGAGAGATTCCATCCAACATTTCAGTGTTCATTCCTCAACTCGAACACCATTTCTAACGTGGAATCTTCACTAAAACCAAGTACCACCCCTATCCCAGTTTACAGAGTTAGAGACCCTTTGTCAATGCTCCCACAACTCACTTTCAAGTATTTACCCCATTATACCATTTTCCAACTGCCTCTCATCACTAGACTCCGTCCGTTTTGAGGGCCGAGACCACATCTTCCTCATCTAGCATGGGGGCTGGTAGAGTAGGTGTAAAGTAAGTGTGGTAAATGAATGAATGAATGACATAGTTCTTGGATATTCTACTTGAGATGAGATTTCTTGAGCTGGCCAGTAGGTGTCATCCGGTTGTTTCAGAGCTGAGTGGGGCTACCTTTCCAGTGCAGAGAATGACAAAAACCAAGATGGTGGTCACATTGCCCAGTCCCAGGATGTGAGGAGGATGGCATCAACAAGCATTTTCGATGAATCCTCTGGGGATCCACAATAAATCAAACACCTGGCTTGTCTCAGGGAGCTAATTCCAGAGGGGCAGAACAGATGTGTGTGTGTAGGGGGGTATGCCAGATCCAAGCATGCCCTGTAGCTCTCTGGCTCTAGGGCCTTTCTGAGCCACATTCCATGGGGGCAGGAAGAACACCTAGTATCAGGGGAGGTGATGGGGCTTTCTGACTTTTCCTGCTGCAGCCTCTAGCAGTTAGCAGCACCTCACATAGGACATAGCAGGTACTCAATAAATGACAGTGTCCCTGCATCTCCTCTGTGTGTTCCAACTCTCTGTGGCTAAGGGCAGTGTCTGAAGATGTCATTTATGGGTCTGGTGGTTTTCATCTTTGTCAGCAGAGTGGCCCTTCAGGAGAGCTCTGAAGTTGCAGAACCAGGCTGCTTATTGGTTCTGTGGGTCTCTTAGGAATTCCTCCACCCTCACAAGGGGCAGGAGGCCTAAAGGAGTGTAGGGCTGGGAAGAGGCCAGGCAGGGCCCTCTGCACTTGTGCCAAGCTTCCTGGGCTGTACACCTACATGTAGGTGGCCTCTGTGAACACCTGCTCTGTGCTGGGCACTCTCTCTCCTTTCATCCTGGGAACAACCCTGCAATGGAGGAATTCTCATCTGTTTCCCTGACAAGGAAACTGAGGCTCAGTGGTGAAGTCAACTTTCCAAGGCCACATAGCCAGTGAGTGGCAGAGTGGGGACTCAAATCCAGCTATCTGGTTCCAAGCCTGTGCTCTTTCTATCTTGCTATCCTACCTCTCTAGATGGAGACCTGGCATTACTAGGCTCTTCATCTAAGAGTAAGCAGAGTAGCTGGACCCATTAGCTCAGTTCTGCTGGTGTGTAAGGGGGGAATCATGATCTGGGGCCTTTTGACTGTCAAGAACCAAGAAAGAGCAGTTAGATATTTTCAGTTACACGTAACAGAAAACTCAATCCAAACTGACTTAAACACTAAGGAGATTTAATTGTTCATGTACCTGGCTTGTCCAGAAAGAGTTCTGGCTTCATTGATCAGGGCTCCAGCTCCATTTCTCTGCAGGTCTGTTGACTCTGCCCTGCTCTGTCTGTGTGAGTTTTATTCCCAGTCTGACTTTCCTCATGGAAGCAAAATGGCTTCAGCAGTACCAGCCAGATCAAGAGAAAGCATCTAGGCTCCAGAAACTGAGCCAATCACTGGGACCAGAGAACTGCCATGTGCTCATTGGCTTGTTGTTATTTGCCATCAAGTTAGCTCTGACCTTATTTATAACAGAACTGAAGGTTGCCCAGTTCTATGCCATCTTAATGATCGTGCTATGTTTCAGTCTGTTGTTGCAGTTATTACTCTTTGGCTTTGGCTGGGTCTATTGTCTATCCCTGAGCCAATCACTGGATTGACTCCAGATGGATAAGATTATGCTGATTGGGGCCAATCCCAGCCAGGCCTCAAGGCTGCTACATCATGGGGAGGGGGTACCCTGGCTTCTGGGGAAGCAACCCAAGGTGTGTAGTGAGCTGCTTGGGATGAACCCTGCAAAGGGGCCCCGTGACAGGACACACAGCATCCACCCTGGCTGAGGCTCTAGAATGGTGGTTTTAGCAGGGCTGTCAAGCCCAGCAAGGGCTATACTCAGGAGAGAGCCTGGTACTGAGGGTCAGAGGAGGGTATGAGGGGTACGTGTCAAGAATGTGACCCCTTACTCTCCATCTGCACAGCCAAGGGAGGCCAAGTGGTGTAGTGGAAGGAGCCCTGGTCACAAAATCAGGAAGATCTTTGTTCAAATGCTTGGTTCTTTGTATGGTTTTGGGCAAGTGCCTTCAACTCTCTGAGGCAGTTATTAATAAATGGGAATAGTCATAAGTACATCAGAAGTCATCATGAGGATTGAATTAGATGATGTTGATAAAGCTCCTAGAATAGTGCCTGGTTCAATAAATGGTACACAAATACTAATCTGATTCCAGTGGATTGTCCCCCATTAGTACCAGCTTTGAGGGGTTTGAAGCAGTCTTCTCCCTTCTGGGATAGTTTTGTTTACCGTAAGAACCAAATTAGATGCAAATCTCTAAGGTCACCTCTGACTTTCTAAACACAGCCAGAGAGCAGGAGGAAATGCAATTCCAAGTGCCCTCTCCTAGCCTAGTGTGACCTTCAGTGTTGATGTGAACTCAAGCAGGCTGATGCTGTTTGGGCCTCTCTCTGGCTTGTGGCTCCTGGAAATGGAGTGCAGCTCAGGACACGGATGGGAATGGATTTGACTTGTCCTTTTGGCGTCTCCCCAGCCTGCAGAGCCCAGGCCTCTTGGAGCATCCTTGGGGCTGATGCAGCGGAGGTTCTGGGCATACACGGCCACTCTGTGAGGAGGCTGCCATGCCCAACATTCCTGAGGAGGAGGAGCCCCCCGGAGATCCACAGGCAGCCCAGAGCACAGCCAGCTACGTAAGTGCCCCCTCCCTTGCCCTCAGCTAGCCTGGCCAGGGGCCAATCCAAGCTCCGTGGGCACAGGCCACAGTTTCCAGCCTGGCCAAGGGTTTGCTTCCAGCCTGGCCAAGGGTTTGCTGACAGCCTGAGGACTCTGTAGTGGGTGCTTGGGGAAGGTGTGTGACTTCCATGCTGAGGAATAGGTTACCCTGAGTTTGTTTGAATTGATGGAGGCCCCCATACATCCTGAGAGAGCAACTTTCCAGGCTGTATCTAACTGAGGCCTCATAACCACCCTAACCCTGTAGGCTCATCCCTAAAATAGAGAAAGACGTAGAGGAGAAACCTCAGCATGGAGGGCCTCGTCATGTGAGGGTAGTGGGCACCAACGAAAGGACATTTAAAGTGAACTCATTTAGAATGAAGGTAAAAATTTCATAGTAAATGGTTTAAAAAGTTATTTCATTGAGATTTTATTATAAAACAGAAAACGATGAAAATAGGTTAAAGGGTATCGAGATTTTATAGTGAAAATGAAATTATGACAAGTTGTTTTTAGCTATACTTATTATGAATTATAGGTTATATGGTAATTTTTCGAATGAACAAAGAATTAAGTGTTGATTTTTATTTTAGTGTATTTATTTTTTATTCCAACAAAATAATCTACTCATATGATGCCATATCCTTCATTTCACATTTGCTTTATGGCATCCTTATTAAGCGATTCTGTGTTTTTTTAATATTTAAGGCCTCCATTCATTTTCCAAGGACTTCTTTGTTTTTTTTTTTTAAACTGAGGATGGTAGAGTAACAAGATGCAAGAGGCCAGGGCTCTGAGCTCACAGAGCAGCCATGGCAGCCCCAGACTGCCCACCTCTGGACATTTTTTAAATAGAATTAATTTTTTAGAGCAGTATTAGGCTTATAGGAAAATTGTGCAGAAAGCAAAGAGAGTTCCAAATACCCCCTCTCCCCCATGCAGTTTCTCCTATTATTAACGTTTTGCATTCCTGTGACACATTTGATAGAACTGATGAACCAAATTAATACATTATTACTAACTAAAGTTCATAATTTACATGAGGGTTTTGACAAATGCAAAATGGCATGTGTACACTGTTATAATATCATACAGAATAGTTTCAGGGCCCTAAAGATGCCCTGTGTTCCACTCTGTCTTTGTCATCTAGTGTTGCTATGACAGAAATACCACAAGTGGATGGCTTTAACAAAGAGAAATTTATTCTCTTACGGTCTAGTAGGTTACAAGTCCAAATTCAGGCTCTCAGCTCCAGAGGAAGGGTTTTTCTGTTGGCTCTGGAGGAAGGTCCTTGTGATGCATCAGTCTTCCCTTGGTCTGGGAGCATCTCAGTGCAGGAACCTCAGGTCTAAAGGACAAGCTCTGCTCCCAGCACTGCTTTCTTGGTGATTTGAGGTCCCCCTGTCTCTCTGCTTGCTTCTCTCTTTTATATCTCAAAAGAGATTGGCTTAAGACACTATCTAATCTTGTAGATCTCATCAATATAACTGCCACTAATCCATCTTATTACATCATAGTGATAGGATTTACAACACATAGGGAAATCACATCAGATGACAGAAGGTAGACAATTATACAATACTGGGAATCATGACCTAGCCAAGTTGAGAGATATTTTTGGGGGACACAATTCAATCCATGACACACCCCAAGGACCTTTTTAAATCCTCTTTTATTCAAATCATTCCCATTTGAAGAATTGATCTTGCCATCATCCTCATCATTTTTATTCATTTTTAACTGATCCAGCTCTATTTGACCCTCAGTGGCGATGACCTTGCATGTGAAGTTCTCCAACATCATTTTCTTTGACCTCATGAACTTTGCAGTTTGTTTATACTGAACTTGCATCGTCCTGCTATATCTGACAGTCATACAAGTTGACCTGGGCCAGATGAGAGGGAATAGGTACTAGTTAAGTGAGGGAAGAATGTATGAGTGAGCATTAATTTTATAAATGGGAAGATCTTGAGTGATATTTTCATGTAATGATAGCATTTGTTTTCTTACACATCGTAACTTTGGGGACTTAGATGACAAGTATTTATTAAACAGTGGCCCCTGGTATCTTCATATCCTAAGCCTGTGAGATTGAGATGTTGCAGAGCTCAGCAGCCTTATGGTAGTGTACTTCCCTTAAACATCTAGGTGGCAGTGGGCCAAACCCTCAACCCTTTGGCCACAGGCAGCCCAGTTCAAGGTTTCATTGATCCCTCCATCCTAGGGACTTATTGGCTCACAGTGAATGCTGCTCATGGTTGCTTTCGGTGAAACAAGAAACCTGCTCTGCTCTTCCACAGGTAACTTCTGGCTTTCCCCAAACTGAGTGCCCTGCTGCCCTTTCCTGCTGCTGCTTCTCCCCAAGTATAGACAATTCCCCAAAGCATTAGCAACAATGGACTATAAGATTAAACCAACATCTCTTTGGAAAGCATGGGGATTAAAGAAAGGAATGACAACACAGAGCAAAACACTTAAAACTGGATTCCAAATGTGACTGGTCCCAGATCTGCCAGTCATGACTTTCCTGGGTTCTTTCTCCTTAGCAACCCTACTCCCCAGCCCCAGACTCTTTCTTGCAATAGCCATCTCTGACCTCTTCCATTTCACTAGCAATTGTAGTGTTCTTGATCCTGATTCTCATGCAAAATCTTTCATCCAAATCCTGGACATCTCCCCTAAACAGCTGCCATGCCATGCTCCCAAGAATAAAAGTATTCCTAAAAAAAAGCAAAGGTGGAACTCCACCTTCAGTGAAGACAGCCTTTTACACTGAGTTCAATTCCTCCTGGTTCCAAACTTTTCCAACTTAAAGGACCTTCAGACTTTCTTTTTAGGAGGCATAAAACAAGACAACAAAAAACTTGCTGGCCCTTCTAACCATCATGACTTCAAACCACACATATGGATAGCTCCATTAGGTTGGACGTGAGGGTAAATTTCTAGGGGTGGTCAAGCAGGGAATAGATCCATGAGCTTGACACACAGTCAAGTGTAAAAGAGCCCAAGTTAGCCAGTAGGAGCTCCAGATTTCAATTCTCCACAAGCTCATTCATCTGTGACCTTGAGCCAGAACCAGTCTTCTATAAACTGAGGGGGTGGGTTCTGAAGGCCCTTCAAATGCCATGATTCTGTTTCTGTGCTCATGGAAAATCAAGACATCAAAGACAATGTTTTAAGTACTGATAGCTTTTGCTTTGCTGGAGCCTAGCAGAAAAAGACCCATGAGGAATTCAGGTGACTCAGGAGCCATTAAGCCCAGTTCCTGTCATGGAAGGCACACAGCACAGGATTGAAGATTGTAAACTTTGTGGTCTATAATTGAATCCCAGCTCCTGCACATCCTGGTCAAGAGACCTTGTGCGAGTCTGTTAACTTTGCTGTGCTTCTGATTCCTCATCTGTTATCCAGGACAAGTGGTATTTGCTGCCTTCTAGACTCTGCCTGTTTAGTCCAGTCATTGAGTGTCTTCTTTGGCATGAGGGACCACAAAGTTGGGGCAGTTTAGAGTCCTAGACTTAGGGCCCCATTAGATCCAACATTCTTTTATTCCTCTGTTCTTGGGCACTGGGCCTCCCTGAGTTCTCCAGAGACTAATGAGACATTGTCAATGAAGAGTTTCTCCCCCTCTTATACCCACCAGACAACCCACATTGGGCTTCTCAGGGGTAGAGGAAATGTCAGGCCTCGTAAGCTGGGCTGGAGCCTCCAGGGGCTGGAGCCTGGGTCCCTGGGAGCAGCGGAAGCCAGGCAGCCAGGGAAGTGGGGCTGGCCAGAAGGACTCAGCTAGAATTCCCGGTACCATGTGAATTCCCACTCCATGAAGCAGGCAAAGAACAGAGCATCCTTCTGAGTTTACAGCTCCCTGGGGTCCAGCCCTAGTTCTGGTGCCTCAGGCCCCCGCCCCCATTTCCCATCACTGGCAAGAGCACTAACTGAAGCCTTCCCACACAAAACAGAGAAGCTGTGGACTAGATCCTGTTTTTTTCTTCCTCTGTGCATGCACACACACACACACACACACACACACTCACACACACACATATTTTAGGTTCCTAATCAGAAGCTGTAATCAAAACCCACAAACCGACAATGCACTCTGTGAGGCTGTGCCCTGAACAGTGTTTTCTGGGCTGTCCCTTGAACCGGGAGGGGCTCAAATGGATGAACTTGTAGATAAGGGGTTCTGGCAGGAGGACAAGCTATTAGGACACAAGCCTGCGACCTTAAGGGACTATAGAATGACAGACCCTCAGAGATAGAAGGAATCCCAGATCACCTCTAAACGCCCTCTTCCTAGGCAGGAAAAAACTATCGATAGCAATGGGCCCCAAACTAGTCACCTCAGGAACTTGTTAAACCCCAGATTTCTCAGCCACCCTAGACCTACTGAATCAGAATCTCCTGGGGTGGGCCTTGGGAATCTGTAGGAATATCTCAATATTATGAGCTCATCACCTGCAAGGAAATCTGTGCCGTGGTTGACCAGCTCTTCTTCCTAGACACGCTGGAATCTCCCTCCCCAGTGATTCTCCCTCAGTTCTGCCCTCCACAATGGCCTGTAGTGGGGTGAAAACTTGCAGATGCAGGAAGGAAGTTTCTAGGCCTTCCTGGAGTCTCTTTCCCTCCAGTCCCCGCAGTCTTTACTCCTATGACAGTTTTAAACCTCCTCCATCCCCTCCTCTGGACACGTATCAGCCAGTCCTCCCCCTGTCTGGCCCTGGGGCCCAGATGCAGTCTGACTAGACCAGGATTGATTTCCTGGGTTGTGACCAGTAGCCATATTATAAAGAATACTCAATGGAACAGCATGGCCTCCTCATAGGTGTCTTCCAAGCCTGAAGGTACAAATAGGCTCATGTTAGCTGCTGTTGTTGTTGTTAGGTGCCGTTGAGTTGGTTCCAACTCATAGCAACCCTAAGTACAACAGAATGAAACACTGTCTGGTTCTGTGCCATCCTCATAATCTTTGTTA